GGTGCTAAGCTAAGCTTACTATTCTCCCCTGTATCAAATCTTTGTCTTAGGCTAACAGTTCCCCTCAGCCACCAGTCGTTGTGCTAAGCTAGGGTAACAGTTTCCCTCTCTTTTCAGTCTGCAAAGTTAGGGTAACAGTTTCCTTCCATTTTTAGTCTTTGGGCTAAGATAGGCCAATGGTTTCCATCTGCTTCTCATCTTTGTGCTAAGCTAGGCTAACAGCGCCCTCTGCTTCCAGTATTTGTGCTAAGCTAAGCCAAGCTCACAATTTCCCCCATTTCCAGTCTTTGTGCTAAGCTAGCCTAACAGTTTCCCTATGCTTTGTATCTTTGTGCTAAGCTAGGCTAACAGCCACAGGAACAAACTGATGCTATCCTGTCCCTTTAAGAGCTCTGAACACAAACCGAAACACAGTCATGTGACCCCCTGACATCATCAGTAGCGCTCCCTGTCATTGGTCAGTTTGTTGTGTCACACGCTCACCTGCCCTCAGGACGTCTTCTTCTGCTCTAGTAAACCTGTTCACGCTCCGGCCTCCTCCTCCTGCTCTGATTGGCTGCTGCAGGTCATGTGACCGGCGGTGCCGCTTGCATTGTCCCGCAGATAAAAGCGTCCCTGCTGATCTGAGAGCAGAAATAATGTGTTCCTGTGTCAGTCGGAGATTCAGACGCTGCTAAACTCGTCGATCAGCAGATTCTGCTTCATCTTTACATCTTTGTTTTTCCGACACTCATCTTTTCTCACACTTTGAAACAATTCAAAACTTTTTCTCACATTTTTGGATTTTACTGTTTTACGTCTGATTTTTATTCAGCTGCTTGTCTTTCACAGATTTATTTACCATTTTGATTTTAAATATTTGTTCTTATTGATATATTTTCACAGGTATGTAGACGTGACATGTTCCAATATTCAGTCTATCTTTTGAATTTATTTAATTTGTCTTCATCTGTACGTTGAAACGGTAGATGCTGTGTTTTTATTTATATTTTTGTTGTTGTTGCTTAAACTGTTTTGACGGACGTAGACAAGCATGTTAAAGTTAATTCATTTATATTATATTATTTTATGGTTTTAATATATAATTACAATTTTCTTTTCTATATTTTTACACTTGATTTTTAAAATGCTATTTTCATTTATGGGAATTCTTCTCATTAATTGTTTTTTTTTTTTACCTTTTAAGTTTCTTTCTTTAAATAAATACTTATCTTTAGAATATGTATGAATTCACTTTTTAAGAATTTATTATTTTAGTTTTTATGCTTTGGGATCAATTTTCATATCCTTTTAAAAAAATTATTTTAACATTTTACAGTTTTTTTTCATTCTTATTTTTGCTTAACCTTTCCTCCCTGATTGGCTGAGCAGGCAGGCCGGCACCTTGTTGCTTAGTAACCACATGTGGAACTCAGCCAGGTGTGTCTCCCCTCTGTGATGTCACACCAGGTTCAGCCAATCGACAGGGCAGAGCAGCTCCTCGCCGCGACTCATCAGGCGACAACGCCGCCGCCACCGGAAACCCAAAACGCCGCGGATGGAGCGGGTAAACAAACACAAACACAAACACAAACACAAACACAAACACACATCAGCTGACAGAGCTCAGAGTCGTGTTGTGTTTCATATAAAACATATTTATCTGTTGAGCCTGTTTTAATGTAACTATGAAGGATGAATGTAAACTAACCCGGCTGCGTTATCAGACGGACCAACTGGCAGAACTTTAACTGGTCCATCGTGAGGTTCTGCAGGAGAATCTGGTTCAACACCTGATCAGTGACTGAACCTGGATTCTGTGGTTGACTTCACCTGATAAGCAGCTGATGTTCTGACCGGACCCGTCCGTCATCTTCAGCCCGTCTGTCCTTCTGTAGCTGTCTATAACTGTCTATNAACCAGGTCCACCAGAATCTAAACTATGTTCACCAGAATCTGAACCAGGTTTACCAGAGTCTAACCCAGGTACAACCCATTCTAGATCTGGTCCAGCACATTCTATAACTCAGGCTCTGACTCTAACCTGGTCCACTACACTCTAGAACAAATACCACACATTCTAGACCTGTCAAACTAAAGTCTACACCACGTTCACCACACTGTAGACCAAAACCACCACACCCTGGACCATGTCCATGACAATCTAGAGCAGGTCCACCACATTCTAGACCACCTCTTCTACATAATAGACCAGGTTCACCACATCCTAGATCAGTCCATCACACGTAGGACCAGGTGCACCACTTTCTAGATCATGCCTACCACACTCTAGACCGGATTTACTACTTTTCATATGTGGTCTGCCACATTCTAGATCAAGTCTTCTGCACTCCATATGAGGTCCACCACAGTCTAGAGCAGGTCCATCACAGTCTAGGCCAGGTCCACCATATTCTAGTCCAGTTTCACCACATTTTAGACCAGCTCAACAACATTCTAGACCAGAGCCACCAACTTATAGACCAGACTCATTAAATTCTAGTCCTGGTCAACCACATCCTTGATTGGGTCTCCAGCGTTCTAGATCAGGTCATCATGTGAAGGTGGTTAAATCGGTTGATATGATGTAAACCGTGTGGGCTGAACAGTTGTGACCTGGTTACATGAGAGTGGGGCTCAGCTGCAGGGAGGAGGTTTTACGTTCCTGGACTCAGCAGAATAATCTTTGTTAATCAGATGTGTTAACCAGATGTGCAGCAGAATGGAGGCAGGAAGAGCAGTCTGTCTGTGTTGCTTATTTATCAACAGCTGTTACAGAGTCATGGTTACATCTGCAGCCACAACACGTTTACATCCTCAGAATGATGGTTTCACTTCATATATTCCCTGTTCTGAGTTCTGTCTGTCTGTCTGTCTGTCTGTCAGAGAGGTATAACTTCCTGGGGATCAGTATCGTCGGTCAGAGTAACGACAGAGGAGATGGAGGGATTTATATCGGCTCCATCATGAAGGGAGGAGCGGTGGCAGCAGACGGTCGCATCGAGCCGGGAGACATGCTGCTGCAGGTACTTTATACTGCTGCTGATGTACAACAGATACTACTACATGTAGTATTTGGTCGTTGTATTAATACTGCTTTCTTATGTGCTTCAGGTGAACGACATCAACTTTGAGAACATGAGTAACGACGACGCTGTTCGAGTCCTGAGAGAGGTCGTCCACCAGCCAGGGTCAGACTCATTTACTACCAATACTACTACTACTACTAGTACTACCACGACTACTTCTACTGTTTTGAGCTATAAAGACCATAAAAATACTGAAGAAGTTGTTGATCTTTGCTGCCACCCCGTGGTCAGTAGTGGTACTGCAGCCACCAAACACAGCCGTGTTTTACATTTCAAAGTGTTCCCTTTAAATTAACGAGATGGACAAATATCAGGAACACTTCCTGGGACGGACGACAAACGCAGAGTCTTGGTTCCACGTCATTAGATGAACTGTTTGACTGAAGTGTTTCTGTCGTCTCCTGCAGTCCGGTGACGCTGACGGTGGCCAAGTGTTGGGATCCGAACCCGCGAGGCTGTTTCACGCTACCCAGAAGTGAGTCGGCAACATTTACAGGTCACACGAGTCACCTGGTGTCACATGAAGTAATCTGATCTGAAATACCTCCACAGGTGAGCCGGTGCGGCCCATCGACCCGGCCGCCTGGGTGTCCCACACCGCCGCCATGACGGGGAGGCTCCTCCCACACTACGGTATGACTCCCATCAGCCACTGCAGCATTCGTCCCACCGTCATGTGACTGTAACTGTAATCTGCTGCTGTTCTCCAGGTGTGCACGAAGAAAACCATCTCACCATCCACAGCGACATGACGGTGATCGTCAAGGCGATGGCCAATCCGGAGTCGGGCCTGGAGGTGCGGGACAGGATGTGGCTGAAGATCACCATCCCCAACGCCTTCATCGGTGAGGATCGTCCTGCAGAACCCAGGTTCTCTGTGAGTCTCTTAAGGAACCCAACCAAGACTCTAACTGCTCTGGTTCCTCCGTCCTCCAGGTTCAGACGTGGTCGACTGGCTGCACCGCAGCGTCGAAGGCTTCACCGACCGTCGTGAAGCTCGCAAGTACGCCGGCAACCTGCTGAAGGCCGGATTCATCCGACACACCGTCAACAAGGTCACCTTCTCCGAGCAGTGCTACTACGTGTTCGGAGACCTCTGTGGAGGTGAGGACGTAGTGGCTTCTCTGAATATTCAGGTGTCTGTTCACCTGAGCAGCACCTGTAAATATAAACACCTGAACCAACCGGTGTCTGAAACTGCAGAACCGCTAACGGCCACAAGATGGAGACAAATGACGGAATGACAGACTGTAATTTTTACATTAATCATCTGAACTCCGAACATTTTTCCTCAATACTGGTTAATTTTTTTACTACAGTTTAAAGCCCTGCACATAAAAAAANAACCAGGTCCACCAGAATCTAAACTATGTTCACCAGAATCTGAACCAGGTTTACCAGAGTCTAACCCAGGTACAACCCATTCTAGATCTGGTCCAGCACATTCTATAACTCAGGCTCTGACTCTAACCTGGTCCACTACACTCTAGAACAAATACCACACATTCTAGACCTGTCAAACTAAAGTCTACACCACGTTCACCACACTGTAGACCAAAACCACCACACCCTGGACCATGTCCATGACAATCTAGAGCAGGTCCACCACATTCTAGACCACCTCTTCTACATAATAGACCAGGTTCACCACATCCTAGATCAGTCCATCACACGTAGGACCAGGTGCACCACTTTCTAGATCATGCCTACCACACTCTAGACCGGATTTACTACTTTTCATATGTGGTCTGCCACATTCTAGATCAAGTCTTCTGCACTCCATATGAGGTCCACCACAGTCTAGAGCAGGTCCATCACAGTCTAGGCCAGGTCCACCATATTCTAGTCCAGTTTCACCACATTTTAGACCAGCTCAACAACATTCTAGACCAGAGCCACCAACTTATAGACCAGACTCATTAAATTCTAGTCCTGGTCAACCACATCCTTGATTGGGTCTCCAGCGTTCTAGATCAGGTCATCATGTGAAGGTGGTTAAATCGGTTGATATGATGTAAACCGTGTGGGCTGAACAGTTGTGACCTGGTTACATGAGAGTGGGGCTCAGCTGCAGGGAGGAGGTTTTACGTTCCTGGACTCAGCAGAATAATCTTTGTTAATCAGATGTGTTAACCAGATGTGCAGCAGAATGGAGGCAGGAAGAGCAGTCTGTCTGTGTTGCTTATTTATCAACAGCTGTTACAGAGTCATGGTTACATCTGCAGCCACAACACGTTTACATCCTCAGAATGATGGTTTCACTTCATATATTCCCTGTTCTGAGTTCTGTCTGTCTGTCTGTCTGTCTGTCAGAGAGGTATAACTTCCTGGGGATCAGTATCGTCGGTCAGAGTAACGACAGAGGAGATGGAGGGATTTATATCGGCTCCATCATGAAGGGAGGAGCGGTGGCAGCAGACGGTCGCATCGAGCCGGGAGACATGCTGCTGCAGGTACTTTATACTGCTGCTGATGTACAACAGATACTACTACATGTAGTATTTGGTCGTTGTATTAATACTGCTTTCTTATGTGCTTCAGGTGAACGACATCAACTTTGAGAACATGAGTAACGACGACGCTGTTCGAGTCCTGAGAGAGGTCGTCCACCAGCCAGGGTCAGACTCATTTACTACCAATACTACTACTACTACTAGTACTACCACGACTACTTCTACTGTTTTGAGCTATAAAGACCATAAAAATACTGAAGAAGTTGTTGATCTTTGCTGCCACCCCGTGGTCAGTAGTGGTACTGCAGCCACCAAACACAGCCGTGTTTTACATTTCAAAGTGTTCCCTTTAAATTAACGAGATGGACAAATATCAGGAACACTTCCTGGGACGGACGACAAACGCAGAGTCTTGGTTCCACGTCATTAGATGAACTGTTTGACTGAAGTGTTTCTGTCGTCTCCTGCAGTCCGGTGACGCTGACGGTGGCCAAGTGTTGGGATCCGAACCCGCGAGGCTGTTTCACGCTACCCAGAAGTGAGTCGGCAACATTTACAGGTCACACGAGTCACCTGGTGTCACATGAAGTAATCTGATCTGAAATACCTCCACAGGTGAGCCGGTGCGGCCCATCGACCCGGCCGCCTGGGTGTCCCACACCGCCGCCATGACGGGGAGGCTCCTCCCACACTACGGTATGACTCCCATCAGCCACTGCAGCATTCGTCCCACCGTCATGTGACTGTAACTGTAATCTGCTGCTGTTCTCCAGGTGTGCACGAAGAAAACCATCTCACCATCCACAGCGACATGACGGTGATCGTCAAGGCGATGGCCAATCCGGAGTCGGGCCTGGAGGTGCGGGACAGGATGTGGCTGAAGATCACCATCCCCAACGCCTTCATCGGTGAGGATCGTCCTGCAGAACCCAGGTTCTCTGTGAGTCTCTTAAGGAACCCAACCAAGACTCTAACTGCTCTGGTTCCTCCGTCCTCCAGGTTCAGACGTGGTCGACTGGCTGCACCGCAGCGTCGAAGGCTTCACCGACCGTCGTGAAGCTCGCAAGTACGCCGGCAACCTGCTGAAGGCCGGATTCATCCGACACACCGTCAACAAGGTCACCTTCTCCGAGCAGTGCTACTACGTGTTCGGAGACCTCTGTGGAGGTGAGGACGTAGTGGCTTCTCTGAATATTCAGGTGTCTGTTCACCTGAGCAGCACCTGTAAATATAAACACCTGAACCAACCGGTGTCTGAAACTGCAGAACCGCTAACGGCCACAAGATGGAGACAAATGACGGAATGACAGACTGTAATTTTTACATTAATCATCTGAACTCCGAACATTTTTCCTCAATACTGGTTAATTTTTTTACTACAGTTTAAAGCCCTGCACATAAAAAAAACAACAACAACAACACAACCATGGCTAGAGATAGACAAAAGTAGAAAAAAAAATCATGAAAAAAGATGAAAAAATCCTACAAAATTGAAAAAAAAAATATGTAGGAAAAAGGAGGAAAGACTAGTTTGTTTGTTTGTTTTTTTTTACAGGATCTGCTGCAAACAGAGAAATTTTGAAAGTTACAAAAAAGTGATTTTGGTATAATATCATTATTTGAAGCTCAGAGAACTGAACCTCATGCATGTTAAGTTCAAGTACTGTTGGACAGTTGGGGTTTGGAGGGTTAATGTCTCTTTTTCTTGGGATGGAAACGAGACAGTAAAACAGAAACAGCACAGTTTCCTGATTTTCTCCAGACTGTAAACTAACCACTGGCCTCCCTGTCGTCCTCAGATATGGGGGTGTTGTCTCTGCTGGACCACGATGCAGCGTCCAGTCGGGCAGGAGGGTCCGACTGCGACCCGCCGGCGCCGGCCTTCCCCTACCAGTACCCCATCCCTCACCCCTACAGCTCGCCTCACCCCCTGCAGCAGCTGCCGGCCTGGGGGGGAGGAGGAGGAAGTCAGCACAGTGAAGGTGACGTGTTTGATTCTCTGATGTTTCTGCTTTTAAACTCTTTTCTGTTAAAGTTTAACGAATTTAACTTCTAACTGGGACAGAACAGGAGTTACACAACAGTCTGTGGTGTACGACGTAATGACATCATGGGTCGTTCTGTTTAAATCAAACAAATCTGTAAAAAGTACCAACAAAACCTCCTCAGATCAGCTGGTTCTTTAGCTACAGGAACTTTAGCATACTTAACGAAGCCGCGCAGAGTTCTGCCTTCAGACTGTGAATGTTCCAGAGTTCCAGGTCCTTGAAGTCCACAGAGGAGGGTCCAGATTTATCACTTTAATGGACTTTTTCCATCATTTCTGAGCCTCAGAGCTTCATCAGTACAGCAGATAGACACATGACATTTAGGAGGAAGAACACATCTGAGCTCTGGTAGAACCTGACACCAGATCAGTTCTACGTCCATCCAGGTGAACGCAAGTGAGACAAAAAAGAGGCACAAAAAATGCAACAAACGACATAAAAGAAGACAAAAAAACACATAAAATTAGACAAATGAGACGCAAAATGACAAAAACGAGACAAAACATCATCTAATCGAGACACAAAATGACGAGAAATGACACGAAACAAGCCAAAAACGAGACGCAAAACAACAAAAACTCAAACAGAAACCAGTTTTACATCCATCTGGGTGTCACAGTCTGAACACTGAATCTGGTTTCTGTTCATTTTCTCTGTAACCAGCTGTTAGCATCAGTATTATGGGATGTATCGTAGTTTGAACACTTTAATATAGAAACAATCTTTGGTATCCTGGATGTGTTTCTGGTTTCTGATCATTCACCAGAGAAAACTTAAAAAAAAAGAGCATTTTTGTTCATCTTCAAGTCTCATCTTCACCCTGATTCTGCCACCGCCGTGCTTCAAGGTGGGGATGGTGTGTTTGTGATGAAGTGCATTCTGGGTAAACTTTCCAGGCTCATATCAGCATGTGTGATGGTGGTTGGTCAGAACAAGTTCGAGACAATGGAAGGACCATTTTTTTACTTTTCTATTTGATACCAGGATCGTCTAAACCTGTTTTCTAATCTCTGGTGAATGTATCGTCTGGCTGTGAAATGCAGAAACAACTTTGGTGTTCACATGTTTTATAGAACGGTTTGGACAAATCTCACTGATCGAACCAGTTATTAGCATCCAGAGCTTGTCTGACAGTTTCTCAGATTCTCCTCTGATAGTGTTCAGTTCTGGTTCTGTCCGTTTGTTCTGTTTCCACCCTCAGACTGAACAACAGGGATGACTTGTACTCTTGGTTTCCAGCATTTGTCTTTTCTACGGACATCCCTAGATTGAATATGTGACATCCTGATTGGCCCAGATTGATTTTTCATGGTCTTAATGTGGTTTCACAGGAAGTCGCAGCAGTGGATCGAACTGCAGCGACGACCAGAAGGAGGCCGGAGGTGAAGGAGGAGGGAAAGGCAGCGAGTCCGACCCTCCCAAACGAGAAGCAAGCGCATCACCTGACCAGCAGCCGGCGGCCGAGTCCCCCAGCGACGGCAGCGCCCGGCGGTCGCCCGCCTCCGTCTCTGGTCTCCATGGCAACGACGACGTCCCGCCTCCGTCTCGAGGTCAGCGCCGCGAAATCGCCACCTCCCGACAGTCCTTCCGCCTGGCCATGGGAAACCCCAGCGACTTCTTCGTGGACGTCATGTGACCTCACGGCGATGACGTCGGACGCATTTCCTGACCAACGTGGAGACGAAAACTGTGACCTCAGTCAGGGCCGTTCCTTTATTTAATTTTGAATATTATTTATTTAAACCAGAACTATCCTGATCCGATCCAGATCAGGGCAAATCAAGACAGTTTTTTAACTGAACGATATCAGCTAGAACCTAAGTCCGATCCTGTGTTTACGCCTGCTGTCCCTCATAGACTTCTCATGTGCAACAACATCCACAAACAGCTCACTGACTGACGTGTAGGTTCTGCATACTTTTACTGGTGATGCTATGAAGGTGCAGATGCATGTTAAAGGCCACAATTAAAGCTGTTTCATCTGTCTCTAGGATGTAAGAATTATGCCCTAAAGGATACACCCTTGAATTAACACGTGTGCTGGCTGGAGGTCATTAGGCCTCACTGAGGACTTGGTCATGGTGCCCGTTTAGTAGCTAAACCACCTCAGTGCTCTCTGCTCGACAACATGGGAGTACCTCCTCCTCGGGTCGCTTCAGTATCGACCAGGAGGAGGTACTACAGCTAATCTACAATACTTCAAGTGTGTATTATCTAGGAAAGTGGTATCGGATCTGGAAAGATAAAAACAACTTCACTATTTAAACTGTTTCCCCTGAATCACACTTCAGCTTTCAACAGAATCACTCGTGAAATCCAGACCCTCCTGGCTTTAATCTTTCTAGGGAGTCGTGTTTTTTGGGGGGACGTAAAGATTGTACAGTTTTTATTTCACTCAGAATCAAACTGAACCAGGACACTGTGCTGTTTCACCACACGGACGACGCCGTCCACGGTTTCCACATCAGTCTGGAGCCGTGCAGTAGCTGAAGACGAGACGGACTTCTGCTTGTTCCTGACAGTAGCTGCAGAGTTTAGCTGTTTTGAGATTCGTGCATGAGCGTGAAGGTTTGGCGTGACCTCATGAGAACGTCTTGGTGAGCTCCTGGAGAGCTGCTTTGTTTACTGTGTCGTGAAAAAGTCAAAAACCAAAAGGATCCCGGTGGACGAGAGGCGTCGGGTTGCCTCAGGAGGACGCCGAGGTCGATGGATCTGTTCTGCTCACTGAGGAGGAAACACGAGTTCACTGAGTTTACTCTCACCGATCCTCCACATCGACCACAGACTAACAAATAAAAACCTCCATATTGACTGCTGTACATTCAGGTGTGTTGATACGTGACAGATTCTGATTACTTCTGATTTTATTTATGAACACTTTTATTCTGTCTTCACCTTCTTAAAGCAGAAAAAAACACAATAAAAAATCTTAAATGAAGTCCTGCTTTTGTTTTTGCTTTTATTACAAATACGAATAATGAGGTTCAGCTCGTCTGAAGTAGTTTGGGTTGTTTATTTAAAAGCTGCATTTTAAAACATGTTGTTTTTGTTTCTGCAGAGATTCCAGTAAAAATTGTGATAAATACACAAAGTTTTTTTTGTAGAATTGAGGCCAGATTGTGCACTAATGGTCCTCAAATTAGATTCAGATGCTGGGCCCCCCTCCACATCAGATTTATTTATTAGGGGCAACTATAATGACACCGACATGATATCAGGGGTCTGCAGGGGGATTAAAATGTCTAACAGGTATAATTAAATAACACACAGAGATGTTAAATAATATATAATAAAAACAACATAACAATGTATAGACGAACATGGAGCTAAATAAAATGCAGAGAAGCTGTTTTTCGGGCTCCTGGCGGTGATGTGATGATTCCTGCTCTGAGCTCTGCCTCCTTCAGACACTGGGAGGAGGAGGGACGCGTCCCAATCCAGACATCCGCCACCTCGTCTTTCGACAGCGGCCACAGCAGGCAGGTAACCCGCCGGCAGCTGTCGGTGTCTGGATCACACTAACACCTCGACATCCCAGCCGCCTGATTAAACACCTGCTGGGGGTAAAACGCCGCTCGGTGGGGCGCGAAAAGACGCGAGCAGAGGAGGGCGTTGCCCTGAGCGGGACGCGGCCCGTCGGGCTCCGTCAGCTGACGGGCTGCTCCAGCCGCCGACATCTTGCCTCCGACCGGAGGAGACGGAGAGTCCGGGCTTCACGGTCAAATGTCCGGATGGAGTGACAGCGAGGCCCGCGGGGTGCTGAGGGAGGCCGTCCGGAGACACAGCAGCCTGGAGCGGGTGAGGGCGCAGAGTACGGACGGTTAAAAACGACCGACTGTCCGTCCGTCTGTCTGCACTGCAGCAGCGGCGGAGTGACCGTCTGACTGCGGTACCGTTAGCAGCTAACAGCTAGCCGCGAGCGAACCGACATTAAAAAGCGCAGCTTTCAGTGATACGCTGTTAATCGATAGTATTCATTTGGAGTGAATAAAGATTCGGTGTATTTGATTAACCTGTATGAACCATCCTGCAGTTCGGCTTCATTAAAAGGCAGCTGCGTTTCATATTAATTCAACTTTTGAGCATTTTCCAGTCGCCGTATCGTCGCTAATATCTCCAGCGGCTCCGCACGCTACGTGACTGGGCGGTAACTTCAGCCGGAATCAGTCTGGACGGGAAAAGTCGAAAAAATACCGAAACACACGCTGCACGTTTTTTCTCCTTCATCCCGAAAAAAACGTAAGAGCCTCCCGGTACCGACGGATGAAATGTTCAGACCCGAACGGTTAAATCTGCAGGTCTGTGGAATCAAAAGGCGTTAAAACGGACGTTTTTTGAATGGAGTTCGGCGGGTCAGATTTATTAGCGGGTTAATGCGAGCTGCAGACTTTCGTTCGCTTCTGTTTTTATATTTATATTGGTTTGATTTCTGTCTTTATATGTTACAGAAGGGCAGCTAATGCTAAGCTAATAGTGCTAACAGCTGCATTGACGCTAAGCAGGGGAACAAATCGTGCTCCTTTAATGCTGAATATATTAATTTATGTATTTTTAATGTAACGTGTTGGCGAGTTTCTTTTCATATGTCCGTCTTTCTATCGAAGGAAAAAGGAAAAATGCATTTTTAAATATCTGAAATAATTAAGATAGAAGAATGCCCATAGTGATTAATAATCAGTAGGTAGAAACGAAACAGACTTAGCTCAGGATTTAAACATATAAAACGAACAATTCGATGATTTTTATTGAGTAAATCTTTAATTTTCTTTAATTAAACGCTGCCCTCTGCCGTGCAGCGCCCCCTGCTGTGTGGATGCCTGCATGTGCAGTCTGTTTTCATGTCAACCAGCTTCTCATCAACACAAACAACATCTGCAGCTCACAGGTTATTAGCAGATTATATATATTCACATATGTGGAATTAGAAATTAGTTATTGGCAGCATTTTCTGTTTTACTGCAGCTGGTGACCGAGTAGATGGCAAGAAGGACGTTAAGAGTTTAATGATTTCTGTTTTTTTTTTCCAAAATAAAATTGTGTAACGAACTTAAAGCATCTGATAATTTTAATTTTAGTAGTTTTAACTCCACAGGAACAAAAAATAAATGTTTATCAAAGAATATTGTGTATTCAACGTCGAACATTTCCGTGCAAAAATCTAAATTAAATGTTTTTGAGATGCAGGAACCAAAAAGATTTTCATCATTTCAGTTCACAGTAAACTGTCCAGTCAGCCTGTGGTGTTACTGTGTTGATGCACAGACGTACACGATGTTCTCAGCTGTAGGAGAAACAGCAGCAGCTCTTATAGACGCTGATGAGCTGCTACCAACTGACACAGTTGTTTGTTTTATTGATCTATAAACTGCAGACAGCAGGGGGCGCTGCAGCTGCTCCGAGGTTAGCGCTGTGTTTTCTGGTTTTCCTATGATTGATGGTGACCTTCCTCCTCTTCCTCCTCTTCCTCTCGGCGCTGCAGTGACTCTTCATTATGATCGGCTCTGACTGACAGCGGCGGCCATGATCGGAGGACTCTTCATCTACAACCACAAGGGGGAGGTGTTGATCTCCAGAGTTTACCGCGATGACATCGGGTGAGTCCTGCAGCCTCGATCAGTTAAAACACGAACTAAAATAAGCAAACCTAAGCCCAGCCCTTTGTTTACTTCTGCTCTCACACAGAGGGAGAGTGTAGTCTGTGGCGCGATGCTAGGAGTGAAGTTTATCTTGGATCTCTAGATCAAAAATCGATTGCACCGCCAGTCAATAAAGAATAATAAAGGACCCTGTTTCATTTGTCACTGAGGTGTTTAAACACGTGCTCTGGTCTGAGGTCATTAAGTGGCACAGAAGTCTCCGTCATGGTGCTCCTGTGAAGACAATCAAACTCAATCAGCAGCAATAAAATCCACCCGCAGAACATTAAAGAACCGACTGGAGGCAGAAATGCAGCTTTTTTTTCTTGCACATCTTTTCAGTTGCAAACATACATAAACTTTAAAACCTTAATGTACTTAAAGTTTGTATTTTTGACTCGTCATCAGCAGATACTTAATATTAAATAAATGACAGAAGTCTTGACCAGGACGTCCCTCGTCTTGAGCCTCTGGAACAGCTGATCCTCGTGTTGGTGTCGGGTTCTGCTCAGTTTGCTGCTGCAGACGTCAGACTGAAGGTTCACTCTGGTTCCTCCGAGTGTCTCAGCTGGCAGCTTCAGGTCCAGATCTGGTGCCTTCAGGTGATAATTGTCACGTGAGATTATGAAAACCTGCAATGCTGAAAAGCATTAATGGAGAATTTCCAAACACAGATTTAGGTTTAGACTCGACACTGTTTGAGGCGACTGGAGCTCTCTGCACCGGCAGCTGGACTTCCTCCTCTCTGTCGTTCAGAGAATCCTGCTCTCTGCTGTTAGACATCCATCTGAATCCGTCTTTTCTCTGGACGCTGCAGAGATGCTGAACATGAAGCGCTGCAGCTCCGGTCTGGCTGTCGCTGTGATGCAGGGAGCCTGTTGCTAGGAAACAGCAGCGTAGCGACGGGCCCTGCGGCGCTAACAGAAACCTGAGAGTGATGAGGTCACCTCAGCCTGCACCGACAACATGGCTGCTGAGCAGCGACGGAGGGAAACAAGACTCGACTTGTAGGACGGAGTGAGACGTCTGTCGTCTTTGTCTCGAGTCGAAACGGTTTCTGGTGGTTTTATTTGATCATTTGTGAGTTTTTAGTGAAAACACGTCAAGAACTAAAACCAGATCAATGTAAACGACAACAACCATCATGGAACAGTCAGAAACAACCAAACAGCTTTTAGCTTCTATCTTCTGATAATCATTTGTTTAATAGACAGTGTTGTGAAGTGTAGACCTGGAGTGATTAATCGATTAGATGGCAGCTATTAAATTAATCACCATTAATTGGTCTGAGTATATTTTAATAAAAACATCTTAAACTCTCTGATTGCAGCATCTTAAATGTGAATATTTCTGGTTTCTTTCCTCAACTAAGACAGTAAACTGAACATCTTTTGGTTGTGGATGAAACAAGACATTTGACAAACGCTGACTGACGGGTTTCATAATTTTTTTGACATTTTAACGACCGAACAGCTGAAATATCCAGAAGTAATCGTTCACGAATGATAAATGATTCAAAACTCTTTATTTGTCCCCTGGAGGCAATTCAGAATGACGTCCAGACTTCTGTCCTTCGTTGTCGTTCAGTCACCTCGTCAATCAATTATTTCACCGCCAGTCAAACTTTTCATTTGTGACAGCATCAATTAATCAAACGTCATCAGTGCAGCAGCGTTCAGACACGTCAGAGCAAATCAGAGGGCTTTACAGGAGACTGTTCATGTGACATTACATGTAGTTAGAAGTAATAAATAGCTCGACTTCTTAACCCACTCACAGATTTAAAAGGCGACAACATTTATCTCCAATAAACTAAAAAAAACAAAAGAGTCTTGATTTTCCAACGGTCCTTAAATGCATCATCTGTGATAACTAACCAAATGTAATCTTAAAAATTGTGATATTTCATAAATATGACTTTAGTTTCTGTAAGTAAACAGAGTCTGTTAAAAAAAACAAAAACTTTATTATTCCTCAGTGTGACTAAATGGAAAAATGGTTAAACTATGAACGCTCTTAAAAGTTGAATATTTAACTGTATGAACACATTTTGCAGCAGAATTGACTTTTAAACAGTTAATAACAGTTTAAACTCTGATCCGATGAGCTCATCAGGACGATGACGGTGGTTTATCTGGTCCATCTGGATCCAGGAAATGACCCTGAACCGAGTGTTTCACAAACCTCCGTCCCCTTTCTTTAACTCTGTCCTCCGTCCCTCCATCTGTCTGTCCAGGCGAAATGCGGTCGACGCCTTCCGGGTCAACGTCATCCACGCCCGGCAGCAGGTGCGCTCCCCGGTCACCAACATCGCCCGGACCAGCTTCTTCCACGTCAAGCGCTCCAACATCTGGCTGGCGGCGGCCACCAAGCAGAACGTCAACGCCGCCATGGTGTTCGAGTTCCTCTACAAGATGTGCGACGTCATGACGGCGTACTTCGGCAAGATCAGCGAGGAGAACGTCAAGAACAACTTCGTCCTGATCTACGAGCTGCTGGACGGTAAACGGGCGCTTCGTTTAACCCTCTGAACCCTGAAATGTTTTATCGTTTCAACTCATAAAGTCCTGCAGCTCTGTAGAACCAGAACAACATGAAGAAGGAGAGAGAACGTCTTCTGTTAGTGTGATACAGTTGTGATGACAGAAATCAGAAAAAAGTGAACAGCTGAAGTAGAAAAGTTTAATTTCTTTAGTTATTTATTCTACAATTATTGAAAACACCTGGAATCATGATGTCCACAGTTTTTCTCAGCATCCATATTTGTTACCACCACAAGAAAAAACATATTTAACTTCTTAATCTTTCTCTTTGTCCTCATTCGGTTTCCTCTCTGCTCCGTGAACGCTGCCTCCAGTTCAGCTGAAACGTCCCTGAGTTTGTTCTGAGGTTTCTCAGTTCATAATTATTAGTTATTTACAGAATCTCTTTCCGTCAAACCATTTATTTTTGGTGAATTTTCAGAATGAACTTGATTTTAATTAAAAAAAATCGCGACTTTAAGGTTCTATTTGGTCGTTTTTACTAATTGGTTAAAGTCAGAATCTTTAAATCTGATCATTCTTTCAATTTTTACACTTTCTGGCTGATAAATTAGATTTTTTTTTAAGCTGAGCGGCCTTTTGGGGTTCAGAGGGTTGTCATATATGAACCTTTGTTTCTGTTTCATGCAGTTTGTCACTTTCAAATAAACTGGAATAAACTTTTATTTTGCTTTTTGGGGTGAAAAATAAAAATAGTCAAGAACAAACACGATTAAATGTATTTACCTCCATGTGTAGGATGTAGATTAATTATAACAGCAGCTTCTATAAACTTGTGATTGAACATGTTTGTGTCGCCTGTAAGCCGAGAGCTGCATCTGTACGATCCAGATGTTGGTTTGGGTTCACGAGGCGCTCAGCGGGCGGTCGGCATCAGCAGGACCGCCTCCTCCTTTAGGTTATGATAAACTCGGATGGTTTCTCTGTGTTCTTGGCCGTTTCTCTGTGTTTTCCTTCCAAACCCTGAACTTCCTGAGCAGGACGTCTCGCCGCCGCCGCCGCCGCAGCTCTGTGGTTTTTTTAGGTTTTGATTTTTGTAGCGTTGGATGAGAAAATCAAAACCTAAAGAAAATACAGCGCTGACGGGAGACGCCCCCGCCGGAGCCGCCGAGCTGCAGGCCGGACCGTTGGTTCTGTTGGTGGTGGTTCTGCTGCTGGTTCTGTTGTGACTGTGTTCGTGTCCCGCAGAGATTCTGGACTTCGGTTACCCTCAGAACTCAGAGACCGGAGCTCTGAAGACCTTCATCACTCAGCAGGGCATCAAGAGTCAGGTAGGACTGGTTTAGGTTCAGCTACTCATTTAAACGGTTCTGGTTTAACCCTCTGGACCCCGAAACCGAGTTCAAAAGGCTTCTAAAAAGTCACCAACATCACAGCCATTCTCTGATTTTCAGCTTTCCGATGGTTCTTGAACTCATCGTGTGACGTTGACGACGATGTTTAATCAAAATCACTTTATTCTGCTTTTAACAATCATTAAAAAATAAACTATGTGCAGGAAAAAGATTCTGTAAAGAACAAAAAGTCTGTGTTCCTCAGTAGAACCGAGAAGCCGTTAGTGACTCAGCTGAGACCAACGATCGCTGAACAAAAAATAAGAGTTATCAGCTGAACTGCAGGAAGTGTAGACAAATAAAAAGTACAGATAGTTAAATATCTGTAGTGGTGACGTCTGTGGAGACTTGGAAGAATGTTTTTTATAAAGTAAATTATCAAAGAAATTCCACTTTTTGTGATTTCTAACTGTGTCAAAGTGCTCAGAAGACGCAGTGAAGAAAAATGTGACGGGAGCAAATAAAAAAACACTTAGAACTGTTTGAGGTTCAGAGGGTTAAATGAGTTCAATGCTTTTATTGTCATGTACGAATGTAAACTGAATATTTTTATTTACAAAACGGTTCCATTTACGTTCTTTTTTTCTAAATGTAAAGATTAATTGATTAGCTGTCAGCTGTTAAATGAATCCCCAACTGTTTGATCATCAGTTAATTAGTTTTAATTTTCTGAAATGTGAATATTTTCTGGTTTCTTTCCTCGTCTGCGACACTAAACTCTTTATCAAGACATTTGTGGGCTGATGGACGTTTTTAATCAAATTCTGACAACCTAGAAACCAAACAATCGATTAATGACAAGTGTGACCATCAGAATATGTAAATTAAAGAGTTAAATGTCATATTTTAACCGGCTCACTGCTGGTTCTTGTTTGTTTTTTGATCATATTTAGTCGTAGTTATTTAGAGAATTTCTGCTGGACTTCTGAAATGTTGCTAAAATGTTCATTTAATTGTCCAAATTAATCCAGAAAACATCCAACAGTTGGTAATCAAGAGTATTTTTCTCATTTGCTGATACTTTTCCAGTAAATAATCAGCATAAACTTCTTATTTCCTCGTGCTAGGAGCCTATAAGTTGTTCATAATTCACATCCAGACCTGAGTTGTGTTTGATTGAATCCTCTGAAGCAGATGTTGACTCTGAGCTGTAAAGTTCTGCTTCCTGAGCAGATGTTCACGCTGAATCTGTGTGTTTTCTTTTGGCCTCCTGCTCGTCTGGACCGTCCTGCAGCACCACGTGAGTCTGAGCACAAACACAAACACACCGTCGTCCCGGCGATGCCACGCCGGTCCGGTCGCTCACCGCCTCCCCCTCTGTGTCTCCCCCCCTCCCCTCCTCAGAGCAAAGAGGAGCAGTCCCAGATCACCAGCCAGGTCACCGGGCAGATCGGCTGGAGGAGGGAAGGCATCAAGTACCGCAGAAACGAGCTGTTCCTGGACGTGCTGGAGAGCGTCAACCTGCTCATGTCGCCGCAAGGTAACCATGCTCCCGCCGTTATCAGCTGCTCGGAGACGACACAAAGCTTTTTATTGGCCTGGAGGACGAAGCAGATGGAGATGATCAGTTTTCAGTGAGCAAAGATGAAACAACCTCCGTCTTACAGCCCGACATGCAATCATTTACTTACATGGACAAAAGAGTTTATTAGTATAACTCTGCAAATAACAAATAAAACCTGAAAAAGACGAGAAGAACTTGTTCATTTTTTTCCGTACGTGTTAGCGGCTCCTAGCTTTAGCTAACAGCAGCTGCAGGACTCAGGCCCAAATGTGTTTAATCCTGCTAACAAATCATATCCCGGAGTATCATGTCAGCGCCCAGTTACTTCCTGTTTCCTCATTTTGAAGAGATTTCTGCTGCAAGAACCAAATTCGCTTCTTTAGGAACTTCAACGCTAAGTCGGTTCACAGCAGCCACAAAAAACCCACAATAAAACATTCTTCTAGTCTCTAAATCTACATGACTTTGGGATATTTACATTCTTCGTAACCCTCTGAGCTGTTTCTGGACGTGTTGGCGATCCTCGACCTGCTCAGAGTAACACAACGATGCTCACAGTTTTACCAGCAGGCGGTTTTTCTACATTACAGTCAGTTAAAATGTTCTGTCTTCTGGTTTTGAAGAGATTTCTGAGCAGCTAAACAAGAACACTTTGCTCTTGTTATGTGTATTTGCTCTGATTATATAAAACGAAGCGCTGATAATGAGCAGTGATATGAATCCTGCCTTGAAACTGTTATTCAAACAGAGGAGTGTGTGAACGAAAAGACAAATACGACGACAAAGACCAGCAGAAAGGCCGCAGAGATACAGAACCAAATACAAAGAGGCGCAAAATGAGCACAAACGGATGAAAATTCAGTGCAAACACAGATTAAAGCACCTCTTAAATAAACACAAGCACTGTTAGATGCAAAATGGACAAAACAAGACAAGAAATAGGCGCAAAATGAACACAAAGACGCACAGAATGACCATGAAAGTGATAAAAACTGACTGAAGGATGCAAAATGAAGACAAAAAGACGCTCAAAATGACTTTAAATAAATACTAAGAGTCACAAAAAGGATGACAAAGACGCACAAAGAGACACAGATCCAAATACTGAAAGGCACAAAACAAACACAGATGCTGCTGCAAGGATGCACAGAGATACAAACCAACAAAAAAGATGCAAAAACACACAATCCAATGCAAACAAAGACAAAACAACTGCAAAGATGCAAAAAATGGCTTTAAAGAAACGCCAAGAGCCTCACAATGGGCAAAAAGAACTACAAAGAGACTAAAAAATACACACAGAACGACTACAGAAGCATAAAACCAAATACAAAAAGGAAATAAACACTCAATGGTAAAAAATAGAACCAAGACACACTAAAGGATTAGAAGATGCAAAATGGCTGCAAACAGACTCTAAAAGACTACAATTAGGCCTAAACCAACACAAAGACACAAAATCACCACGAAAGGGATTAAACTCACTAAGAAAGGTGCAAAACCAAAGCAAAGCAACTGCAAAAATGGCTTAAAAGAAATATTAAGAGCCACAAAGGGGAACAAACTACACAGAGACTCAACCTACTCGCTGGATTTCTTTTTGAAAGACTCACCTGATGAGCCGACAGACGTCTGTTTGCATTCGTTTTGCTTCTCCTTTAGTCAGTTTAAATCACTGTGATGGTCATTTTGTGTGTCTTTGTGTTTATTTTTTTACATCTTTTTGTTGGTTTAAGTCTCTGCAGCTGTTTTGTATCTGCTGGTCCTTCTTTTTCTCTTAGAGGTGTTTATTTTTTTTCTGTAATGAACCATTCTGGTCTGTGGCAGCTGCAGCAGCGACTCTGAACCACCAGAGGGCGACGTCACGCCTCCATTGCCTGTGTGTGTGTTCATGCTTTGTGTGTTTTGTGTGTCCAGGCCAGGTGCTGAGCGCCCACGTCTCCGGCCGGGTGGTGATGAAGAGCTACCTGAGCGGGATGCCCGAGTGCAAGTTCGGGATGAACGACAAGATCGTCATCGACAAGCAGGGCAAGGGAGGGAGCTCCGAGGACGCCACCAAGAGGTCGGAGGTCACACACCTGACTGCCATATATGGTCGCGTCCTGTAAAAGTAGGACCACGCCCACTTTAGACCGTAGTAACACAGCAGCCCAAATATAAGATCACCTGTACAGGAGCTACTGAGGAAACAAGAATCAAAACAATACAGATAGAGACACAAAATTGCTAAAAAAAAAAAAAAAACAACACAATAAGACAAAATAAACACAAACAGATGCTGATTCAATGGAAGCAGAGATTAAACCAACTTTTAGACACACAAAACTACGACTAGACGCAAAATGGCTGCAAAGAGACACAAAGCAGCCACAAAAAGACAAAAAACAACAACAAATAAATGCAAAATGGCCACAGAGACACACAAAATTACCATAAGCAAATATCAGAAGACACGAAACTGTGACAAAAAAATACAGACACAAAAAAGTTAAGAAAATTAACTACAGAGAGACAGAACAAATGCATCAAAATGACCACAAAGAGATTATAACTGACTAAAAGACACAAAACCAACACAAATGGATACAAAACAACCGCAAAGACGCACAAAATCACTTCATAGAAACACCAAGAGTCACAAAACGACGACAAAAACGCACAAAGTGAACCCAAACAGACGCTAAATTGATTGCAAACAGATAAAATCACTTCTTGGACACACAGAAGGATGCAAAATGGCTGCAAAGAGACTCAAACCGACAAAAAGGATGTGCAAAATTACCATTAAAGTGATTAAAACCCACTGAAAGCGATGCAAAATGAACACAAATACACGCAAAACTAACGCAAACCCGACGCCTGTGCTGTTCCTCAGTCATCCAGGTCATGGTGATGCTTTCAGAAAGAGAAATCTGGTTTAATTCTGAGGCACAAAACAGCAGCAAAGACTCAAAACGAAAGCAACAAAGACACTTTATCTGATGTAGACATTTAATTATCACGTCCCCAATTAAAAGAGAGATCAGCCTCACTGTTCCCAGATCTTACATTCAGACCAAAACAGTAGAGGTGCAGTTGAACTAAATACCAAAGTCTGAAGCTGACCTGACCCGTCTCTCGTCCCCTTCCTCCTCCTCCTCCTCCTCCTCCTCAGTGGGAAACAGTCGATAGCGATCGATGACTGCACCTTCCACCAGTGTGTTCGCCTCAGCAAGTTCGACTCTGAACGCAGCATCAGCTTCATCCCTCCGGACGGAGAGTACGAGCTCATGAGGTCAGAGGTCACACACACACCGACACACACACACACACACACACACCTGGCTGCTCAGGTCCAGGTGAGTCTGACCATCTCGTGTGTCTCTGTCCAGGTATCGAACCACCAAAGACATCATCCTGCCGTTCAGAGTGATCCCTCTGGTCAGGGAGGTCGGTCGCACCAAGCTGGAGGTCAAAGTCGTCATCAAGTCCAACTTCAAGTCGTCGCTGCTCGCTCAGAAGATCGAGGTGAGACTTCTAGAGAGTTCCTGCTCGAGAAAAATCCAGCAGTTTGTTCTGTTCTGACAGTTTCTGACTAATAAATTAGGTGATTTTGCTGTTTTTGGTTTGTTTCAGACTTCAATTTGAAAAAGTCTAGGAATTAACAATGAGGCTAATAAATAAAATAATAAAAAAAAACAAAAGGAAAACAGAGAATATTTGAACTCTTAAGTGTCCTGGGACCTTCTTTAGTTTTAGCTGCATGCTAAGCTTCTCTTCAGGAGTTTGACTTGATATTTAGTCCTGTATTCGGCTCTCTGTGTGTTTGTGAGCCGACGTTATTCCCAGACTGACGCTGGTTGATCTCCTCAGGTCCGTGTTCCCACCCCTCTGAACACCAGCGGCGTGCAGCTCATCTGTATGAAGGGGAAAGCCAAATACAAAGCCAGCGAGAACGCCATTGTGTGGAAGTAAGTCCTCACTGCATCTTTATTGTTGTGTTTAGAGGCATCAGGAACAGAAAGCCTCACCCTAAGCAGCCCACAGCACTGCAGTATGCTGAATAAATAAATCAGATGTGCGGAGCTGCCGGCCTCCGAGGAGAATCAAACGGATCAAAGTCTGGAGAAAAGAAAGCAAAGTCCAGAGTCTCCAAAACGAGTCCGAGTTTAGATTCTGATGATGAATGTGGACGATCTGATGTCCACCTGTGGAGCAGAAAAATACAGCGCTTATAGAAAGAAGAAGTATGAAAGGATGTTTTATCAGTGTGGTGTCAAAGATTCATGTGAAGCAGGAAGCAGACTGAAGTCTGACTTCATGAACAGATCTGAGAGTTCACTGGGAATAAACCAGTTCCTTCCAGCCTGGAAGACGAGCACCATGTTCGTCTTCCTTCTGCTGTTTGTCTTTGAGGTCGTCTCTGCTGATGTTGACGTATTAAAGCCTGAACAGATCGATAGTTCCACTTCTCAGCCAAACTGTCTGCTGACAGCGCAGGTCT